GGTATTGTTCCTTAATAATTTTTTTATTTGGAAATATACTAATCTGTAACGTGGACAATAATTATAGTGATATATGAACACATTCACACCATATACACATAAAATATAAAATTAACAAAAGTAAAATAATAATCAAAAACTATGTACAGTAAAAAAATAAAATGACCTAAAGATAAGTAAATTAAAAAAATGAAAACAAAGTCATACCTGTATACAATTAGGCAGGTAACCCCAAGCCAGGCTTCTCCCTCTGACTATAGAAGGAAAGGACTCCAAGAGATCCCTGCGCTACTCTCTCTACCTCGTCACTGGTGCTAAAGCCAGTGGCCTTAAGATTAAGAATTAAAACAAATTTTGATGTTCGCATCGAAATCTTTAAACACAATCTATCCCGTAACGATTCGACAACTTTTGAAACATCAAGTTTTTTTTTTATACCCTTTATTTTTTATACGTTTGAGTCCTCGACAAAGTCCCGCGGTCCGCATTGCAACCTCCATCAAAGTTACACGAGCCATATATGATAAAAAAAACTTTTATTCTATAAATGACACTTCAGCTTCGAAATGAGCTTTATACGAGAAAAAACCATGCAATAAATGTTGTAGAAACCTCGTAAATGAGTAATTTGATAAATTTCATATTTTTAAATAGTTGGAGAGGGGAGGGGGCGTAGTATGGAGACTCCGGGTGTAGATTATAAATATGGAGCTAGTGCATTGCCTTAAAACTATAACAAATTTGTATTTAGTTAATTTATTTAGTGTTTACTTTTTCCATTATTACCTAGGTATTTTTAAAAAGTTAGCTTTTGAAGTTTTGTTAAATAATTTATGTTATTTTCAGTTATTGCTAAGGATGCAGGTATAGAAGTGAACGCTGTATGTTCCCAAGTTATTTCTTGACAGATAAAATAAATAAAAATCGTCGATATTTTATTTTCAACTAGCTGAGGTACCCCTCGTTGACGGGTGTATAGTTAAAATTTGAGAATCTTTTTTTGAGATGGATGTTTTATTATGGGGAGAGGAGGGTCCAAATTCAATTTCATAAAATTGGGTTGGGAGGGTGGGGTTGTTTTGAAATTTTTTATGGCGAGGCTTATGGAAGTCAAGGTTTCGCAATAGTCATAACAAAAACTTTGTTATTCGGCCATTTGTTTAGGTAACACACAACTAAACCAACCACCACTAATACATTAAAATGTTAAGTGTTTAATTTTCATTTATGATGAAGCGAGGAGATTGTGGAGTTGATTAATTAATCAAGAAGAGTTGTAGTCTCTCCACTTCTTTAAACTCCGCTTAGTTTATCGCTGGTAAAATAATCAAAATAACATTGGACATTGAGTCACCTATATCCGTGTAAAATTAGAACTTAAACTGAATATTGCGGCGGCAGAGTGAAATTGTTGAATTTTTTTCCCCTGGTTTCCAAATAATCCGTTTGGTTCATCCTAAAAATGTATACGACAATATTTGTTAGGCTCGGAAAGTTGAATTGAATGACGTCTTGAACGGGAAGAACGGACAATATTGAAAAATGAGTGTGTTTTACCCATTTCATGGGACAACGCGTTACAGATGTTAGGTATTCCGGATTTTTCCCGTTGAGTTGTGATAATTTTTTCCATCAGTTGAGTAGTACAACTTTTAAATATGGCTCTCGGTAGATTAGGTTGGGATTAGAATCGAAGTAACTGCCTAATCGGGATCTCTAAACAAATTACTCAAGAATTCATAACTTTGGTTCCACTCAATATTTTGTTTTCATTTAAAGCCTATATTTTAAGTCAAGCAAACCTAAATGCAATGTCAAAATTTCAAAAGTCTACCATTAACTATTGCCGAGCTTATTCCTGACAAAATTTCGTTGGACAATGCGGACACCCAGACAGACAAAAATTTGTTTTAAAAGTGGATTTCTTGTGCGTAATGTATAAAAAGGAAAGATGTCGTGAAACGAATCGATTCTATTCAATGTATAGACGAAGCCTTTATTTGATTTATATAGGTGTATTATTATCATTTATTATCAACATTAACCGATATCTCTAATCAAATTACTTAAGAATTCATAACTCTGGTCATACTTAATGTTTTGTTTTCATTTAAAGCCTATGTTTTAAGTCAACCAAACCTTAATATAACGTTAAAATTTCAAAAGTTTACAATAAGCCATTTCTGCAGACAAAATTTTTTAAAAAAGTGTATTTGGTGTCTGCAATGTATGAAACGGAAAGATATCATGGGTTGATTCTATTCAATGTAAAGACAAAATCTTTATTTTATTTATATAGATACTTCTTTTTGTAAATAAAATCATATGATTAATTTGTGTGCAAATATGAACATCTGTTAATTTTTTTTTTTTAACTGAATTAATATTGTAGATGTTTTCTCTTGGCAATTAAAATTCTTTCGGAAATGTGCACAGCTTGCTGTGAGGTGGATTGCTGCATTTGCTATGTCTGGATGTTGACATTCGTGTGCATTGGTCTTTCCGTAAGCTTATTCTTCCTGTGGCCTTATCACATCATCAGCTATATCATCCAACTCTTCTCCCAATTGAAATCGTCATCAGAAAGCCATGCTTGAATGTTTGAAGCTCCTGCAAACTCCCATGACATGTTCCCCCGCAAATTCTTCCTTCCAAATGAGTAGGGTCCGGAGATTTTGGCGTAAGAGGGTACGAGATCAACAGTTTTTATGTGATTTAGGAGCAGGACTGATCAGATAATAAACTAAATTATAAATGTTAATGTTTATTGCCTTTTAAATAAGTAGTAACATTCCGTTAAACGAAAGGCAAAAAAAAAAAATGGTATGGCGGAAGTCCCGAAAGCCATTTCTTTCTTTCTAATCGGTATTAGATAACGAAATGAGATTAATTTGAGTTCATCATAAAACAATTATAAGCATATGTTCGGAGCAAAATTTACATGTGGAATATTAGGTTCATATTAGATAGTTCGACTGTCGTGGAAATGAATTGTTTTTAACTTGAATTTCGTAAAGTAGTCGTAAGCATGTTGTTCTTTGGGTATTGTATGGTGATTCCAAACGCTTGTTCAAATCAAGCAATAACAGCCTGTCCGATGTCTATCGCTGAAAAACATGAGCGCATAAAATTGAACTTATCATTTACAAATATTTATATTTATTGAGGAAGTTATGAAATTGGGATTAAAATTACCTGTTTTTATTCGCTTTATCTTGAACTGCTTTTAAAAAGTTGGTTTTTTTTTTTTAAGAATGTGCACAAAAACTATGTATATCATAATAATTGAAGCCTAAAAACCATAACCGTCATACTTTGGATGGTTAGTGTGAAACTGAATAACAAAAACCTAAAACTGTTCCAGGAAAGTAGACCAAATAAAGTTTTATTATAAAAAAAAAAAAGTTAGATTCGTTTTTAGTGTCTCTTAAAATTCAACACTATTTTAATAATTCTTATACAAATCTAAAAATGAAATGTTCAGTACTTGATTTTCTTGGAGAATTTTTTTTTTCTAGCCGTTAATAAAATCGCTTGAGCTCCTCAGGTTTCTGTCCAAATTCAACGATAATAATGCCATTTTAATGTAGAATTAGCAACCTTCCAATCCATATCAACATTTACATTTTATTTGTTTTTAAAATAAAGATATAAAGAAAAATATTGTTATTTATATTTTTGGTTGCTATTAGTTTACGTAAGTCGGGTTAGCACCATTTGGTGTAGCCTATAAGCCCCTTGAACCTAATTATTTTTTTTTATTATTTTAAGGCTTTAATCACTAGGATCATTATTTCCTTATTTTCATTGAGAATTACATTGTATTTTCAAGTTTAGAATGTTTCAGAAAAAAAATAATTATCAATTCCATTCGTATTGTCATGTAGAATGAAGTGTAGATCGTTTGTCAAGTCACAAGATAGTCTAAATGTTTCGTAAGCTCATAATTCTGTTAAAATTTGTTTTACTGTCAGAGGAGTCAAACAGGATTGGCATACTGGCGAAGAATCACGAGCCATCAGGTATCCATGAGTAAGGCGTGTATGACTTATACGCAGGCGCGTAAGAATTACTTCCTCTCTGCGGTTATTCCTATTTGACGACGCCCAAGAGGAAACGTCACTTTTTACCTCCCTCAATTTATTTTCGGTTACATTAGACCATATCTGTCCCCATTTTGTCTTCATTTTCTGTTTGATGAAGTTATATAGTTATATATAATAGTTATATAATATATAGTTAATATATATAGATTTATAATATAGTTATATAATATATAATAATTATATAGTTTGAATAAGTGGAATCGTCTTGAAGCCACCATAATGTTTGTGGTTGTTGAAAAAATGTTGAATGATCCAATCTAGACAAAAATAGCCAACACTTTATATATATATATATATATATATATATATATATATATATATATCGATTAGTAACCTAGTAATACGTTCGAATCTAAGACTAATAAAATATATTTTAAAAAATAAGAAAAGAATGAACACCAAGACATATATCCACATTTTTTTTTTATTTGATTGAATAAATTTTTTTTTTGAAATGGATGATCGACTGACTGTGACCACTGGACTATGGTTCACTCGTAGTCATAAAAATTTCAAATAATCAAAAGGAATAAGTGATGCAATTTCTGTAATCTCGATTGTATAAAGAGCAACATTAGTTTGACAAATTAAACTACTTTTTTTCTAATTTTAAAGTCGCTTTTGAAACACCAGAAGAACAAAAAGTACACATGAAACTTCAAATATTGAGGGTTTTAACAAAACTTTTGACATAGCTGTTAAGCGAATTAAAATGGACGCGTTCAGGAAAATCCGAATTCGTTGCGCACTGTTTGGACTTACGACGTGGAATAATTGGTAATACCAAAACAGCAAGCAGCAGCTGCTGCGGGAGGCATAAGCCATCTAGAATAATAGAATCGATTATACGGGAATCGATATGGGCCAGTAGGGTGGAATATGTTGGTGAAGTTGATGAATAGCCTTAATGTCCCTCTATTCACGGCGGTTGCAGATCTGTTGCTCAGCCGCGTTGGCCAACACGCACAGTCAATGCGTTTTATCTCCGGCCAACTGATTCTAGCTCGCTACACGCATTCTGCTCCGCCGTCACGCCGTTTGGACATGGTTGATCATTGTGCCTTTGAAGGCAATCTTGGCCGATAGGTCTATCCTGTCTAAACGGCAGCAAAAAAAAACTTGAAAGTAGCTTTCACGTGTCCGCTCTCAGACTATTTGTGTGAAATAGATTGCGCTATAAAATAAAACGCAATGTTAGTAGAAAGCAATATGTTTGGAAAGTTCCATCATACTTCTTAAAATGTTCATACCGACAAAGTAACGAAGAAAGTGAAGTTATAAAAATAACTAGGTGTTTCTCAGAAAACTTCCAGTTATCCGAATCACTGCAATAATTATTTCTGCTAATATTTGTATTTTATTTTTACTTATGAAAAGTTTTCAAGTACATAACTGGTAATCAGAACACAGAGTAAAATAATCATGGAAATGTGAAAACGACTTGTTATATTGGAGAAGAAAAAGTAACCAGTTATTTACATACTATCTTTACAATAATATCATTCAACGTTTCTTTTTTTAGAAGGGAGGGAAGGGAGATACTCGTTTAACCCGTTAGGAATGGATTTATAGTTGGTGTTGTAGGTGTATCCTTTAATTTTGCATAAGTCTGTGTGTCAAGTTTTACTAGAGGGGGTAGTGGCCGAGCGGATTAACGCGTGTGTTGCCCAGTTACCTGATAATCGAAATTTTGAAATAAACAAATAATTACGAGTTCAAATCCAGGATCCCGATGCGATTTTTACTCGGCATGATTCCCACATCATCTCTCCCGGCTCGGAAAAAAACTCATGTAGTCTAAAGGGAATAGAAGGGAAGTGTTAAGTTTTCCTCTTAAAATAACATAAATACTTTTGTAACGATTAAGTTCGAAATCAGTTCAATCCATTTTTATTTAACATTTTGTTTTCATTAAAATATTTACTCTAGTTTTACAAATATGTTCTCATTACATTATATCTCTTACCAAAGCCGTACTAAATAAAAGTGCCTCTATCAAATATTAACAGTTTGAATCCTTGACGTTACTTAAGGTAAAATAAATATATATATTTTTTTTTTTTAGAATATTGTTTGGATATGAATATGAATATATATAATATTAATATAAATATGAAAACTATGTCCTTGATGTGACAGAATGTGATATTTGTAAATAAACAAATAAAAAAAAATATGAAAAATAAAATATGAATTTGTATATTGCTTCCTCAATACCGAAGGTAGGGAAGTATTGTGTTCGTGCGAGAGGTTAAAAAAAAAATTTGTGCTCAGAATCGATAATTTCCACTCGCATTTGACGTTTCAGACATCAAGGACCAAATTAGGTTCGGTATCTGTCTGTCTGTAGTCAAATCTATGTGATCACCTAGTACCGTTCATCCGATTTTCAGAGATTATGCAGATTAGTGTCAAATTCCATCCAGCACTTCCGCTTACGCACGCCCAAACGTTATTTTTAAGATATATCAATATTTCAGAAAGGGCTACTTCGATTTGGCTAAAAGATAAATAAAAGGTAGATATTGGTGAACAAATAATGTAGTGTCAATTTTATTGAATTCTGTCCACTACTCTCTTATATTTGCGCTTCTATGCTACTCGCGTTGCTTTAGACTGTAGTGCTTAAACGAATATACCGATTTCAATGAAACTTCGCTAAAGTCATTTTCTCGACGCCCCTTAAATTTATCTATATAACAGACTTCAAAGAAAAGGAGCTGGAAAAAAAAAAGTTAAGAGGGATGGTAAAATTAAATTCCGAATAACTCAAAAAGTATACACTTTTTTGTCGATATTGTGATAAGATGTTTCAAAGGTATTTAAATTAATATTAACATAAATTTAAATTAACATAAAAATATTAATTAGGTTTAATAAATGAAATCAGAATGTTTAATCATAGTATTGTTTCCATTCTATAAATATATCCGTTATATATACCCTCTATGACTAAATAAACCAACAGATAAACAAATAGATATAACAGATAGAGCAAACAGACATTGTGTTAAATAAACTGCTAAATATATCGCCACTTATTCCTAATATCATATAAATAATATTTTAGCGACCCAGAATAAAACACTTCAGTTTTGGCTGTTGTTTATTAAAATTCAGGTAAGAGAAAATGTATACACCCATATATATATATATATATATATATATATATATATATATATATATATATATATATATATTATACATATATACACATTGTCAAGTGTTCATCCGATATTATCTTTAAAGACATGATATATATATATGCATTTTTTTTATATAGTATTCAAACGGTGATTATCCTATGAATTGTCCCTGATTTATATGGGCCTCTCATTGTAATAAAATATCAAAAAGTTTAGTAGGACGGTTTTACGAATTTACATGATATGCAAACAGGTCTATATTATATTCAATTTTTTTTGTTTTTCTTCGAGTAACTTATTAATCTTAAACTTCGTGAATTATTCATCTTATCGTAAATTATACATTTTTTATCAACAGAAATGAGGAAAATAATTAATTAATTTAATTAGGTATTGCAAACTCATATTTAAGATACTCATATTTCATCACAAAATTGAAAAAAAGGTGCCCTACAGAAATATCGAGCTGCTTTGCCTATATAACCTCTTTATGTTGATCTTTTAGGGGTTGAGGTGACGCCAAACGGCCCAATATTTTTCTGAGTTACTTTTTTGTGACCAATTCATTTTAAAATTCAAGTGGAAAGCACCACTTTGCCCATTTGTTAATGAGTTTTTAGTGCCTATTAATAAATAGACAAACTTTACCGATCTTCAGATTGTAAACGCGTCGTTTCTGAGAATTCTCGTGCATAAAAAGATTGTAGATTACGATGAGATGAAGCTATTCACGAAGTTCCAGGCAGATATTAATTATTTCATAAAAAATGAGTATGAACCACGGACTATATGAAAAAAGTTATTTTGACATTACTGAAAATAATAGAAGATGGCTGTAATTTGTTTAGTGATGGAAGTAACTTGGTTATTGTAAATAATGTAAAGTTCTACTTTGATGTATTGGGTTGGCAAATAAGTCCTTTCGGTTTTTTAGGGTTAAATAAAACTCAATGTATTATAGACTAAAATATATTGATCATTATTTAATATGACTTTTTCCCCATCTTTCTACTAACTGTATAATGCCATGTACATAGAATATCTGGAGTTTATTAAAAAAACTGTTCCAAGTTGTTTTTGATGTCGTCTTCCGTTTGGACTTTCTTTCCATTCATGATGTTCTGCAGAGACCGGAATAAGTGATAATCACTTGGAGCTAGGTCTGGTCAATAGGGAGGGTGAGGCAAAAGGTGCGTTTCACAGGTGCGTTCGGTTAAAGCATCATCACCATAAACAATGCAAATTTTACAATGAGATCCACAATCAAAACACTGCAATACATTTTTTAAAATAATATAACAAAATATGCCGATAATGAATGAGATTTTCTTCCATATCCACAGTGCAATAGTAAACGCAATACTAAGCTAGATTCAACAACTGTAGACATAGTTGTTGACATATTACAAACCGGATAAACAATCCACCTTGGGGATTAATTCATCAGATAAGAAGTGTATCATAATGGCATAAAAATAAACAGAAAAACCGAAAGGACTTATTTGCCAGTATAATATTTTATAGTTCAATATAACATGAGTTACAAATAGTATAGCTTTGATAAAATTTTATCTCATTTAAAATCCTGCCCGCTCAATTTTGGTATGATTTTTTTATTTTTTTTAATAAGCCAGTCACAACACTTCAAGAGTAGCTCTTAACTGTAAGTTGTTAACACAATTTACTCTGATAACATTGCATGCTTATTTGTGTCTCTCCTAGAGACAGTCGGAACTCACAACGGTTTCGTTGGAGTCTCACCTTGGAAGATGGACAGGAGGAATTAGGCAATTATGGGCAGTCCCATTGGGGCCCGTAATGGGTTTAGTGTCAGTGCAACAATCTCCTGAGATTAGTCCCATGGATTAGTGATCTGGGCTGCCCCCAGGCAAGGTCATTTACATTCACATGAATAATCTTATACAATCAACTGCAAATCCGCCATTGTTTTAGTGATAATCCGCCCTTTCATGATTAATCAGACACTTGAGATTGTATTGATGAGATTCGGAATTTTTTTTTTTAGTTTAAGTCATATACAACGCATATAAATGGTTAAAATTGAAGCATACATTACACAAATTACATACGTATTATTCTATAAGTATACTCACATTTCCTATTGCGCTAATATTGTGAATTTCATAATCATCATATATTATGATGTCAATGAACTATCAACAAAAAGCAAATTTTAAGGTGAAGTGACGATTGTAAATTTCGAAACTTGAAACCTTAATTCAACTGCAATAAAAGTTTAAAAAAAAATGTTAGGTTCCAAAACTCAGCAGATAAACTGCATCCAATTGAAATCATAATTTTTTATAAAAACTGACTTAACAATATAACGGCCAGTAATATGGCCAATTTTATGTCTTATTCAATAATTCTATTTTCAATCCCTATATAAATTTATCTTCGACAGTTTGGGTAAAGATAACAAATTTGTCAATTTGTGTCTCCCTTCATCTTTTCAGAGTTATATGGATATTTTATATATGCATTTCTTATTCACTTTTGATTTATTTAAATCGTATATAAATTTAGCGTATTCATACTTAGAGTACACTGTAGGTGTAAGAGATTGGACAAACTATTCAACAGTAATAGCTTCATTTCTTGTCACGAGTTTTGAAATACTTAATAAAGGATTAGCTTTCCCCAGTAGACTATACATGATAGTACGCGCTTAATCAAGACCATTCTGTTTGACGTAGAACTCTGCCTTGTATAAGAGTTCTCTTTTTTTTTATTGAGAGAATTAACAACATAACCATATATACATATATATTTATATATACAGGATACCTCAGTTATTCTGGTGATTCTAGGCAAAATGTTCAACAAAAAAATTCATTTGATAATCCGGCCAATTATCTGAAAAGGAGTTAAAATCGAATTCTTTTTTTATTAAGGTAGTCACGGTTTTTATTATTGATAGGAAGGTATTGCAAAAAAAAACTGTTCAGGATAATTAAATTTTAAATACACCACCGTAAAATAGAAAAACTTATTTTAAGAAAACAGTGATTAAATTAACAAATGTCAATGATTAAAGGGACGTTCACGTTAATACTGCTGCAGTGAAAGTACCCATCCCTACTTAAGCAGCATATCTCTATAAAAAGGCATTATTAGTCCTCCTTAACTTTTTTAAAAAGTTATAAAATAAATTTTCAATGCTGTTCTAACGATATTACAATTGCGTAAAGAAGAAGTAATGGTACCATAAATAGGAAAATTGATAGAAGTCACGTAAATGCATTTTTTTTTTCTTTACAGAAAAAAGACACCTCTTATTCGGAAAATAAACCAAACTAAAGTAAAACAAATTAGTTGTGCAACTCAATTACCGACTTTTATACTAATTAAATATTTTGCAGTTCATAGTACTTATTAAAATATTTATGATACTTTTATGATTCTGATATTTTCACAAATCGAGCTTTGATGAGTGTATTTGTTACAAAGTGATTTATTGAGTCAATTTAAATTTCAGATAAGCTCTTAAAAATATTGCACGGGAACAGCCAGTAATGAATGCAAAAGCAATTCTGTAGCTATAAAGAGTCCACTCCGATTGCGTATGCTGACTAAAAGTCATCAAATGTAATTGAAATAAATATTAAAGTATTAGGGAAAGCTTTTATTAATACTGAATTTTATTTATATAATTAGTTAACTGCACTATAATATGATAGATGATAAAAACTTATTTTTTGGAATATTTTTTTATTAATGTATATAAAGGCGCAAATCATGAATTGTGTTTTATAACGGCATTCCTCCACTTTCTATTGAGAATATTACTGAATATTATTTTTTTAGTTTATCAAATATATCAAAAAGTGTCTTTTTATATTATCAGATATGTCCAAGGAATCGTAGTTATTTTTCTGAACGTAAATTTTTAATAGATTTATAGTTTATCGAGGACTAGCATAAAAATTAATATTTTAATCTTAAAAACCTAACTTCATGATAAGTATCTCATGGCAACGAAATTACCTAAGAGACTTCATGCTAGAATTACGATTTTAAGATTTTTTAAAAATTTTTAATGATATTTACAACTATATAAAAGAAATACATTTAGTAAATTTGGACATATGGACATAATGACGTGAAAACACTTGTTGAGAAACTACCCAATGGTAGCACTCTAATGATATGTCTACATTAGGAGATCACGGGGTCATCTTCTTTTCAGACAACTCGGAGGGTTATCAGGAATTGAATAGGAAGCAAGGATAGAAACAAGAAGGTTTGGATGGTTATGAAGTTTATTATGGAAGGATAGATATCTGGATTGTGCCAAATTTGTTACATAAGGAACATTAAGGTCATTGTGGGTGATTTTATTTGTAACAAAGTAAGGAGCATTGAGGATTTCGCGAAAGATTTTGGATTGTAATGATTGGATACGAGAGGAATTTGAAGGTTTGGTGAAGCCCCATAGCTCAACTCCGTAAGTACAAATAGGCCTTATTATAGTCATGTATATGGGTCTTTTGTAATTAATTGGAAGGTTAGAGCGTTTGTCAAGTCAGTGTTGAAGTAGTCGGAAACGTCGAGCGGTTTCTTGTCGCTTCATTGTGGTATGAGGATTCCAAGTTAGACGTTTGTCCAGGTGGAGTCCTAGGTAACGGATTTGTACAACAGAAATAAGTGAGGTGTTGTTAAAAGATATTGAAGGAAAGGGAGTCATTGGTTTACGACAATATTGAATTTTAGTTAGAAAATTTGTTATCTGCATTTGAATATGATTCTTTACAACTTTTTTTTTGGAATACTTTTACTCACTTCCTATTGAGAATATTACTGGATATATTTTTTTAATTCATCAAATATACCAAAAAGTTACTTTTTATATTATCAGTTATGTCCAAGGAATCGTAGTTATTTTTCTGAATGTACATTTTTAATAGATTTACTGTTCATAGAGGACCAACATAGAAATTAATATTTTAATCTTAAAAACCTAAACACGTGATAAATATCTCGTTGCAACGATATTACATAAGAGGGTTTAGGCTAGAATCACGATTTTTAGAAATTATCCTTATTCGCTAAATTTTATGCCATCTTAGCTTTGGAGTCTCCTAATTTTTTATAGATTTATGTTATAGTTCTTAATTATTGAAGGAAGTTGGTTGACTGTTCTTCATATCATGGGTAATAAATATTCAGGACGCAGTCATTATAATTTTTTTTTATTTGTGCCGAAGTTTCAACCCAAACATGTGGGTCATCATCAAGTACTACGGAGTAATTCCAATTGAAAGACTTTAGTGTTCCAACCACACCATATGTTTGGGTTGAAACGACGGCACAACTAAAAAAACTTTATTATGACTGCATCCTGAATATTTATCACCTATATTTCTTAATGTTGATAAGGTTTTAAGTTTCGATATTGACGTTGTTACTTCTTCATAAGATTCCCTTTCGTTTGTTACCCCATTCTTTAAAATCCATCCCTCTTGAGAGATGGAAAAGGTATCTTTACCACCGTATAATATATACTGTAGACGTTCTATGTGTACTTATTAAATACTTTTTTTATCTGTCCATTATTATGTTTAACAATGAAGTATTGACGCAGGTATTGGTAGGAATCCTCTCCGCAGCCTATGGCCGGCCAGACGGGGGCTACAACTACGAACCGCCCAGCGGGCACGGAGGCGGGGGTTCGGAGCCTGTTATCCAAAAACACATCTACGTCCACGTGCCGCCCCCAGACCCCGAATTCCATGCTCCGCCTCAGAGGGTAGTCCCAGCTCCGCCTCCGAAAAAGCACTACAAGATCGTATTTATCAAGGCACCAACCTACGCACCGCCTGCTGCCCCAGTTATACCAGAGATACCGCAGAATCAGGAGAAGACTCTCATCTACGTCTTGCATAAGAACCCTTCAGATGCTCCACCTATAATCATACCAACTGCCAAACCTACCCAGCCATCCAAACCAGAAGTCTATTTCATTAGGTAAGTACGCCATATTTTAACACATATTTTCATTCACTCATTGTTTATCAATTAAGAATATAGATACGTTTTATAATTCAATATAAAGGGCATATTATTTCATGAATATCAACGCTGCAAAAACCTGTAAATTTAGGTTTAACATAGAAAGGTTTTGAGTTTTTATGGTCAATCTAGCCACGCACATATCCAGAAAAAAAACAACCCAAAAATTTTATTGAAAATATATTTTTTCTTTATTGTTGGCCATTGAAGTCCCATACTGCTACTGAAAACATAACATCTTTGCCTTAAGCAACTTCATGATTAACAATTACTAATTACACTTAACACACTATATTAATACTTAAATCTATTATCGGTTCTTATGTTATTGAATAATGTTTTTTTATTTATTGAGTAATATAACAATCTGGCACATGGACAATAATTATACTGTGCTAAGACTTCATTCATTCTGGTTTATAAAAAACATTTTAACCAGAAAAATATTTCTTGATGAGATGTGTTTGTGTGTGTGCATATATATATATATATATATATATAAATATATATATATATATATATATATATATATATATATATAAAATCTTAAATAACCGCACAAATATAAATTAAGACATGAAAAAAATCTAATATGTATAATATATATATATATATATATATATTAATATAAATATTATATATATATAAGTATGTCCCATTAGCTCAATAGTTCTGAATATTGTTTTCAACAACACATTTGCTGATTGTCACATACATGACAAGTGCGAACGAAGATATCGAAGAGAAAAAAAAAGATTAATACCTCATTACATTTGCTCACAACAAAATCAACTTTCTCATTACAGAATAGCTTTTTCATAAAGTCAATAGCTTTTACCTCAATCGCCGTTGAAATGTTTCAGTTAACTCATGTTCACGTCAGCAAGATCTGCTCAGTCAGGTCCTCAAGGAGACCCTCCACTTCTGCCTGTCCATCGCGTCCTCCTCCGACAGTCGCCTACCACCCGCACCTTTCACTATTCTATTCTTTCATCTTGCTGAGGGCCTTCCTATCCTTTTACCCTCTGCCTCACAATACATAACTAATTAAAAGTAATTGGTTCAAACTAATTACTTATAAAATAAATTTTTACTTCATTAGTCATGATAAAAGTATGGTGATTCCTCACTTGTGAATCTTGAATATAATATCTTGATAATATTATATTTTATATGTTGCTCACTATACGTCGAATGTATTAGGGAAAAAGGTAGCCATCTAATGTGAGATTTCTAACTGGAGTATACTAATACAAATAAATATGGAAATTTATTACCATTCAACCTTTTTTTCCCACATTTTTTAATGTGATATTGATCAATAATTCAAGAAATGAGCTCATTCATGAAATCGCTCCATTTTATATAAAATATTTTCATATTCTGTATGATATTTTTTTATTTATTTAACTTTCAGATATAAAACACAGAAGGAGGTAGGATATGCTGGAGGTCAGGATGGAGGGCACGGTGGCGGTGCTGCAGGCGGCCATGGAGGTCACGGAGGAATCATCGGCGGTCACGGAGGAGCAGCGGTCACAGGTCACGGTGGCGGTCACGGAGGCGGTCACGGAGCCCTCCTCGGAGGTGGTCACGGGGGTGGGGTCATCGCTGGTGTGGGAGTGCTCGGTCACGGTCTGAGCGGTCACAGCCACGACTCCGGTTACTCACCGAGCAGCCCGAGTAGCACCGCTGTCTACAGCAGTAGCACAGCAGCTCCGGTCATATCCAGCCCGAGGGCCCCCTTCCTCAGGGTCAGGACTGCGACCCCAAAGTTCGTCACCCCTACCCCCACAACTTCCTAGTCTCAAAACGTCAAATTATACAGTAGCCTTAAATTTGTATATATTTTGTACTTTTATTAAATAAATATTTTTCTAATAAGTGACTTGATGTCCTCCTTTCCTATGGCAAATGCAAATACTAGCTATAAAAATTGTCCATCACTGCTACCATTCTAAATGCTAGGGTGGATATACAAATATCATCTACTTCTACAGTTTTCATCCATTTCGTGGTACTAGTTAGGTAAAGAATGAAGTGACTATTTACTTTGGTATCCTAAGATCAACCAAGATCAAGTTATGCAGCTGAATCGAAAAAAGAAATCATTTTTGCAGTGAACATTATAGTAGGTACTAATATTTCCTATTCTATTTACTTTCTGCTGGAAGATATATTCTTTTTTTATTTGTTTATATATTTATTAAGAAATAATGCATTTTATTTAAGGACACTAAGTATTAGAGCTATGCGTGATATATTCATTCTTTATATTCAATAAGACGATAACAAAAACAAAAGAAAAGTGATGAACATTAGAATAAAAAAAAAAAATAAAATAAAACATTCATACTTAATTACAATATTTACAGCCTTACAGACAGCCTAGAAAATTCAGAGCCTGACTATTACTGGAGGATAAGCAAGACTCCATGGGATCTCTGCGAATCTCCCTCAGCCACACTAGAGCCATTTCCGTTTCAACCTAAGCTAAGTAATTATGATGATACATAAGGTCCTGAATAAAGTTAGAGAATATTGGAGGATTAACATCAAGAACATATGGGATGTTAAGGTCATCAAGTAAAGTTTGTTCCTTACATAATATGGAGCATTGAATGTTATTCTTAAGACTTTAGATTGGATACGTTTTTCGTTCGAAAATTTAGCTGTTCTCAGCTCAAGTCCACATAGGTACTAGGCAACATTAAAAGCACCAATAAAAAGTATCTCTATCAGAATCCTTATGAGTAAGATCAAATGCTTGAGATGTAGGAGATGGGAGAAGAAGGAAAATAAAGAAGAAAAAAAACTACATAGAAAATATAGAACAAATAATAGAAAATTCTTTTACACGCATTGTGTAAAAATTTAAAGAATCTATCTTCACTGGGTGCATCTCAACATTTATAGTAAAAGGTTAGATACAGTTGGCAAGCCCTTAACCTCCAAAATCTTCTATACAGGTACTGGCCATAGCAAAATAGGCGTGGGTTCGTTTTCCATAAAACAGGATTATTAAGATAAACGAAATTTGGATAAAAATACATAACAATAAAAAAATATTGACTGTAAACTTATTTTTCATATGTAAATTAGAAGTATAAAATCATTTTCAGGTGAATAGAATAACTAAAAAATTATTTGGTAGAAAAAAATCCTGAACCACAGCTCATGATGGATTTTGACTTCCTTTGATTACTTGATAAGCTAATGCTTCTTTCTTTATCAATAGCTATACATGGACCATGTTCAACCGCTAAGTTTTTCCCCAATCGACAGTACTCACACTAGAGACATCGGTTATGCTCTAGGAGAGTCTTCCAACTACAGAAACTATCCTTCTGGTAGTGTTTCTCAAATAAATCTGTACCTTCCTAGTAATCGAAAAGTTTTGGATTTCTATTGCGTATTCTTTGGAATATCTAATCATCGACATGTCTACAGTCGCTCTGGATTCCTTCCAGTAAGGTAATTTGATATCAGGAATGGGCCTTATTGTATTCAGATTCATATTCATATCATATAGCAAGTTTTATAAATCATTAATTTAAATTTAGTTCCGTCTATGTCTTTAAGTCCGGACGTGCTTTCAATTTCCAGACATATTTTATTGATAAATAATTTCGTCTCATCTCTAAAGAGGGTTCTCCAGATTCAGCATATGTTATATTTATATGACACATTTTAATATAGACAATGAACATAGAAATTTTCTATTGTTCTTAAAATGGCCTCGGGCATTGGAAGGACATTCTTCTTTGTATTTGTTATAATTATCTATGTAGTTGTAATTAAATAATCTTTTTTGGGGGATAGAAAAAATAAATAAATACATTTTTTTGTGATCATTTTTTAAACAGTTAAGACAGTATCATCCTTATCACAAATTACAATAACAGAAAGAAAATGGAAACCAATAACCACAAAGAGCATTCTTCATTTAACGAGTGGTAGCTGATATGAATTAAAGATGAGGAAGAAGAGCTTGAGTAAAAAAGGGTAGACATCGGCTCTCAATAACCCGGGCCTATTTCAAAAGCCACGAGGATAAACAGTTGTTAAAACCTTTATCTCCTTCCTGTATTTATTCCTGTTGACAATGGACTTGGAGCCTCAAATACTCTTATTGGACTTCAAACTTCACATTAAAATTAACCGAATGCTATGTCCAAATTGTGTATTATTTTTTTCTTTAAGATGTTTTTATTGATAAATAAAACATTTTCCCACACTTGAGGGCAGTGAGTACCAGGGCTGAGTGAGGTTCATTCATACCATGTATACAGTACAACAAAAAAACAACATCTGCCAAGTAAGGTCAGTATAGCTACCTCACCGTTTGCATTGACTAAAAAATATCTATATTACAAAGTCTAACATTTTTCGCGTGAAAATAAAATCTCTAGAAGAAGCCGTTTTCGGAAATTCAGTGATCCCTCAACATATATGGGTTTGATATCCACGAGTTTTGTTCATCAGCGAATACTAAAATGCTAGTAAAAGATACGCATAAGTAGATTGCATATTTGCTGATTCAGGATTAAAAAAAAACAACAGTGCGTATTGAACATGAATATCACTACTGTTAGTGGAAAAGGACGTACGTAAACATTGCTTTACAGGAAAGCAATCGTTTCTTTAAGGAAAGCAAAAACTAATTGTTTATTTATGATTTATTAGAATAATTTCATAATTTATTGCTCTCTGCTATTTTCTATCGTAACAGAATGCTTATATTACTTGAAGAATACAAAATGTCAAGTTGAAAAAGTTTACATAAGATCTTTTGCACTGACAGTAGTAATATGTACTTAACCGGCATGTTTTCACTTCAAAAATAGATAGTAAATTTCTTCAGTCAGAACAAAATTATTTAAGTTGTAATTTAAAAATATATGTATGTTGCGCGTTTGTAAGAGGAAGTACTAAGTAATAAAATTAGTATGGGACCATCTATACACCAACCCGCACAATCCCTGAGAATTTCATGATAATCGGATGAAAGATACTAGGTGATATGCCCATCACATCGATTTGACTACAAACACCGAACCAAATTTGATCCTTGATATCTGAAAGGTAAAACGCGAGTGGAAATTTTCGATTCTGAGCATACAAGTTTTTTTAACCTCTTGCACTAACACAATGCTTCCCTACCTTCGGTAGTGAGGAAGCGAAAAATGAAATAAAAACTATACACTTAAATAAAAAGGCAAAACTATAATAAAACCAAAGAAATGTAAATAGAAGTTGAAAATAAATAAAACATAAGTATAAGAAATAAATAGATAAATAAATAATAAAAAAAATCATACATAATTAAAATGTTGAATATTTAATAGTTGACCGTTGCATTATAAAGGAAGGAGATGGTCCGGGCTTGCGGTCATAAAAAGGCTAAATAGCGGTAAAACTATTTTATTGAAAAACAACGTTTCGACCCGACTTTGCAGGTCTTCATCAGGGAGGTGTGTTCCTCTAGGAGTTTCACTTAGAATTGGCTCACTTGAGTTCTAAGTGAAACTCCTAGAGGAACACACTTCCCTGATGAAGACCTGCAAAGACGGGTCGAAACGTTGGTTTTCAATAAAATAGTTTTACCACTATTTAGACGTTTTATGACCGCAACCCCGGACCATCTCCTTCCTTTATAATTAAAATGTATTTTCACAAAATAGTCATGATAAAATTTTAATTTTAATTAATTAATTGTATATTTCCGTTTCAAAACTATAATTGTTATTATCATACTGACATAAAAACGTAAAATAACAAACAATTAAATCTTGATTAATGACTTTCGATTTTGATTGGGGGAGAGGAGTTGATGAACTAAAATACACCGGCTGCTTTGGAAAATGAAGGAAAAATCTTAGGTAAAATCATCTGTTTACTCTCCGAAGATGGAATCTTAAGAAATATTTGAACCTCTCACGCAGCACTTTCCACCTCTTTTTTTTTATAATTTTTTTTTTCTCACCAATTATTTTTTTCTATTTTCTTTTTACCTAAGGTAAGAACATTAAATAACTAAACTTTAATAACAATAAACAACTTTTAACCTTAACGTGCATTTTACATTTTTTTAATTTTATCCAATTCTTAATATTCATAACTAAAAGATATAATAATATATAATTTTAATTAACGGCGTTGATGACCAACAGGTTTTATCCCTTTACTATACAACCAACCAACGAAATAAAAAAAATGATTTTGAGAGTTTTAATTATATAAAAAAAGTATTATATGTAAATAAAAAAACACACATATAATTACAGCCTTCATAACACTGCTACATTCCAAGAACTTTTTCAGATGAGCAAGAATAATGTAAACATGTGAAAAGTATCTTTGATTTCTTAGTGTGTACAAACTTAAATTAAAATACAACGTTTTTCACAGTCCGACAAGTTTGTCACAGAAAATGTGACATAAATATAAAGTGAAAATTGAGTGGGTACAGACCCTGAATACTGACCATAATTGGCAGACGTTTTGTTTTATTATACTGTATCCACAGATATATTATTACAGTAAGGCTCGAAACCAAATATAAGCTCCAGTCATGCTCAAATACCATGAATGGGGTACCGTTGGATTCAGAATTTCACGGGGGGGTTAGGGAATCGTATTTTACACTTTTTTTTTTCTTTCTAAAATAAATAAAGTCGATACAAACATTTTGCTAGGCTTCAAAACTGGAATGGTGGTAGGTCTGTAGATCGATACGGGACAAATTGGATCTTGAAGATTTTGATGCGCACAGCAAGACCCGGAAATATCGGATACTGCGTTT